GGGGGGGGGGGGGGGGGGGTGGGGGGGGGGGGGGGGGGGGGGGCTTAGCCCCACCCCATCACTATTTTTTTCAACCATGCCATTCGTGAGGGCAAGAAACAGAAGATAGGGGCGTGACTAAGCGCAGTTTTTTTTAATGGTTCGGGCCTTTCCCTCCATACCCCCCCCCCCCCCCACAATCACACACACACACCCACCCACAAAGAGAGATACGCATACAAATCTGCTTCCAATTTTTCAAATTTTGATATTATTTGTGAGGAGCATTAAGAATAAAAATGATAACGATCCATAATTGCCATTAGACCCTATTGTGTTAACGTCAGACATCTGAAATAAAAAATCTTTCACTAGGTAAAGGGGATATACATAATAAATCACTGAAGATTTTACTCAGTATCGACACAATGAAATTTTTGACAATGGCTATGATGGCTAAATCTGAATAAAGTGAGCTAAAATGTTAACTTTCACCGATCTTTCGTCCATTTCATCATGCTTATTCAAGTGCGAAAATAATCATTCGGCATCTCAAAACAACTTGCTGACACCGGTACTCTATCCTGGACATCTTTTTGAAGATGTAATTAAGATTCATTTTGACAGACTTTGTATCATTTTGACAATTCTTAAAGCACTATAAAATGCTGTCCATGCTATAATTGGCTGTATAATATTCATTATTTCATTCATTCATCGTAACCCTTTGCAAGGCGAGTCCTACTTTCGGGACAATTAATTAAATAAGCATTGCCCTAACTCTCCAGAACATTCGTTAAGATTATACGAGATCCCCTTATCAGTTACAAGTTTTCTGAATAGCTGCCACGAACTAATAAATGGAAGGCCCGGTTTCCTGACTCCGAATCCCCGGGCCTCAAGATTATGGCCTCTACCATTAAATAGACACTAATAGCGATGGAAAGAAAGAGCATCACTGATTACATCAAAGTACATTGAAAGTAGACGTTATCACACAGAACCTCATGTCTGAACGGGGTGGCACCCCTTTCAGCAATTTCCCATTGTTGTATCTCCTCTGTGATTTTCTTTCAAAGTCAGGTGCAATGTTAAATAATAGTTCTTTTCTCCTGTCGTTGTGTGTCGTTCTTCTAATAAATTGCCCAAGGGCGCCTGGCTATAACTGAGATGTTAGGATAGCTTTCTAAGAGGAAATTATGCAGAGCAACACTGGCTTTCTCCCCCCCCCCCCCCCCCCCCCCAAACCACCCCCCCCTCACCCCCCCCCTTTTTGGGGGGGGGGGGGGGGGGGAGAAAGTGGTTCTCCATTTATTTATTTATTTATTTATTTTCTTTCAGTCAATACCAAAATTCACTTTAACTGTAAAACGAAAAAAAAAATTGATCCACGTCCATTTAGGGCAAATCAGTAGTGGTAAACTAAAAATCAAGTACATGTAGCTATTGATCTAAAACGGACTACTACTGTTTTAGAATTTTTGGTCAAAGTAGGCTAGGAAAATGTGCATTTTATATTTTACGTCAGATGTAGAATTACTTAAAAATCTTTGAAAATATTTTTAAAAAGGTAAACACTAATCTTCTGTTTATACATGTTTATGAGGTTCTTTTTTAAATTGACCCCTGATTCCGTAAAACAGAGTTAGAGGAACCATTTTTTCATGAAACCATGTTATCAGACATCGTTTAATTTGACAAATTTATTATAGGGTGTAATTACACTTATGCCCGTGCCGCACAAATACAATTCTAAATTGTTCAAGACTACGGTGTACCAGTCTCAGCGCAGCCGTCAGCGGCGGATTACCTACTGCGCATGCCAGTCCTTAGCATCATTAAGTGCGGAAATAAAATATGGCCTTTGATCTTCGCTTATAAATTCATGAGACGTAACAACTACCTGCGGTTAATTTGCCGTTCTAAGGCACTCAATTTTCTCTCGCCCGGTGGCCATCCGGCGAAAGGAAGATTTTCGCTCACTTGGAATGAAATCAACAGTCTGATAACGTAAAAAAAAAAAAAAAAAAAAAAAAAAAAAAAAATTGTTGGTACAATAATAATAACAAGTATTTTCAGAAATGTGGTTGGATGGAACTTTTTAATATACGCGCATGTCAATCTTAGGTGCCGGTTTGTTCATAGACCCTCTTTCCTACATTATTTTTTACATATCAATCACACATACACACGCGCATTCTGGTATATGCAAATCTATGGCAAGGGCAAGTCAATTAACAAATTAAAACCCTCACAAGTGCTATTTACCCAGAATTATAATATATCATATTACGTAAAGCTGTGAATATGCCAAGTGATGTGATTGCGTCACCAGACCCTGGCAGAGGGCACGAGAGTATAATGTAATCTCAGTGATGACCCGAGTTCTATGCCTGTTACGCACTCTTAGCGCACAAAGCATGCTGGCATGCATTCGTTCTATTCGTGCTTGTTTGGTTTTCTTAGCGAGTTGCCGTCACTGCTGTGTGGTCGTTAAAAACTGCACGCTCGCTAAGCCTATTGCTCCCTTGTCTCCGCACCTGTGCTAAATTCTTTTACGGCACACGGTGAACTATTAATCTGGGAGAGCAGGTTTACGTGTAAGGCTACATGTACTAAATTTGCCTCACGTTTTGACTACAATGACGATCATATTATTGGCCAGAGTAGAAAAAAAAAAAAACGTCGTGAGACTGAATATTCTAGTCTCTGCACGATCTTATTTTATCAAAAATTTCGTCAGTTCTTTTTTGTCACTTTAATGTCAAAATTAAAGCTCAGCTATTAGCAAAAAGAATCCAGAACTAAAGTAGCAGGCAATGTTTGCGGCAAATCCGCCTCAGTCTTTGAAACTTAACAGATTGAAGTATCCCTAGCCAGGTTTAAGAAAAAGAATAAACGGGATGCAGGGCATAAATGAACGATAACATTTGGTTATCAGTAGAAAAATATTGACCCTGGGATGTTTGGGATAGCAAGAAAGCACGGCGGAGACAGATGTGAAGAGTGTATCAAGAAGATTTAACAAGTGTCAGACTGTGTCAAAACAATATTATTGACGCGAACAGCCTAACGACCGCTCCACAACGTTGGGCTATTTTTAGCAGTCAGCGTACGTACGGGGTTTCCCACGCCAGGTAAACAAAGAAAAGAGCTCGGAACATCTGTCGCTCTGTGGACCAATAGGAGAGCCGCACACATCAGGTGGTTAATTATATCGACGCTGATCACTCAGTATTTGTCAAAGTGGAGGAGATGATTATTTGGGCTAATATTGGGAGTAGAGGAATGTTGCCTTTCAGTTCCTACTGTTGTTTGCTTAAGTCAAATGAACATGTTCCACGGTGTGTATTTAAAGAGAGAGAGCGAGAGAAGCAGGGAGAGGTTTACCCCTTTAGAGGTGATTGAGAATTCTATCCGTTATTACGAATCTGCTGTGAATGGAGAATGAATCTGTGAAAGTATGAAAGTAGATGTGGCGCTTTTTTTATTCTACCAATTTCGGCGAAGGTACCCAACAAACTGCTGAATTAATACACGCAGGGGTACTTTACAGCAAAGTATTTAATGAGACTACTCAAATAAATAAATAAGTAAATAAGCTTTAAAAAATTATTTATGTATGTACTGTACTCGTCTATTATTTACTGCCCCACTTTATTATTAAAGCTGCAAAATTCGTGTGCCATGGATTTGCTCATTTTCTTTTGAACTACTCAACTACATGTACCCCTGTACCAGTTGAAAAAATTTTAATCAGACCTGGATTTTGTCCACAAAGAACTCCTTCAGTTCCCTCCTTTGGGAAAGTAATGGCATACCTTCGTGTTGTATCTACTCGCGTTACAGTGACTAATTGAAGTTGTTGCCTTCTCCACCTTTTAATGCATTGCATCTAAAAAAAGGGCCCTGAAACCCTACAATTTAGTGGTTTTCTTACCACACAGTGGTTTTTTTACCAATCATCGGTGATAATGCAAATACGTGCTATCTACAGCAAAAATATCAACTTTTAAATCTTATACCAAGGAATTGCCAAAGAAAATCTTATTCCTTGTTTACATGCACCGTGCATGTACTGGCAGGCAGATAATTGCAATTTATCAGGTAAATATATATCACACAATGGCATTAAACAATACAATAAAAGCATTAAAATGATAAAAACATGTGGCTTATACGTTTAAAGGTTCCCTTGAAAGATAGAAGCTCAACTACTCTGTGACACCTTGCACACTGGTTTATTTCTCATACATAACCCAATACATTGTGTTAGAGAAGACCAGGCTAATGGGACTGATTGCATTAGAGAAGTTTGAGCGACATTTCGCCACTCCTCTTGAGGTTTCCAGAGAAAAATTGTGACTTCATGGTTTAAAAAAATCACTTCAAGAAAAATAGTTAACGTATCTCCATCTTCAAGAAGGTTATTTTAAAAATATTTTTTTAGAACATTAAAAACTCTAAGAGGTCATTAGAAAATATTTTAGTAAAAACTGAAAATAGTTGCTCCCCCTTATACGCAGGCACCAGCATGTACATGTATAACGGTATGTGCATTCTCAAACTTTAGTGTCAATGAAAATAGTTTTCAATCCAATTTGGCAATGCCTGTGTGATGTAAGATTTACTCATTTTGGAGAAAAGAAATGCTGGTAACCCTGGATGTTTACTGCAGTGCCAAATGCAAACTCCCTGTTTTCGTTTGACAGTAGTCCTTTCAGCAAATATATATTTTATTGGTGCAGTTAATACTAGTACTGCTGGATCACCAAAAAGTAGGTATGTCAATTGCCTCAGTTGCTTTTTTGTGGCACACAATAAGGCATTTTCATTGGCACAGACACTACTAATGCCACATGATTACCAACAGTATTTCAATAACCTCAGTTCCTTTTTTTCAATTGGGACTGCACGTAATTAGACAACGTGCATTTCAATGTAAGATTTTGCAAGTAAATTTCTGATAATCCTCTGATAGTCCCACTATCTGAAAAAATCTAGCAAAGACTCAAATCATTAAGGAATTGGATATGTTTATATTGTTGTATTTATTTTTAACTTACTTATTTTATGTTTTATTAGTCATCGTATGAAGTTACATGTAATAATACATCTGACAATCTTCACAATGATAACACATTTAAGTTGAAGCTGAAATCTATCAGGTATTAACTTACAGTGAAATAACCACTGCATGTTGTCAGGGGCGGATCCAGAGATATTTTCTGACAGTCTTTCAAATTATCTTTGTTGATCCATCCTCCATTTTTGACCGTCTTCTGACAGAAAAAATTAGATACCTGTCAATGTAAACTTGAAAATCTGACTGTCTTCCAGAAGACCCAGAAGACAGCCTAAATCCGCCCCTGCTAATGATGGGTTTACAAAATTTAATGCAAAAGTTATCCACTGGTGGAGATGGGGAGGGGGTCGGGTACTCTATTTATACCTGTAAAACATTGCGCTCCACAAGCTTCATTTGCTTATAGCCAAGCATAACTAGTGAGTAAAGTGGGGAACCTTCATATATAAAGTGGGGGTGGGGTGGGGAATAAAATAATTTTGCTATGCAAATACCAAACAGGTGACGAGATCAATTTTTCTATCATGTGCTGGGTACAGAGATGAAACAATTGTTCAGTTTTGTTTCGTTACATTTCACTCATTATGCTGTTTTGGTTTTTTCTTTCTGAGAGAGAAGGGGGTACATACAAAGCTGGGGGGGGGGGGTTGAGGGGGGGATGAGGGGGCATAGGAGATGCATGCCCTGGATCAGCCTTCCTTATCCTCTTTCAAACTGATGAAATATTTCCAAGTCCATCAACATCATCAATGTTTTAGAAGCTGGTCCCAGTCAATCTGAGTGGAGTACACCTCTCTCTCCACCCATCTTTCATAATTCTCCTTAAACTCCTGTGGAAGGTCCATGTGCTGCCCTAACACGCTGGTAATACAGTTATCCACTGGCTTGAACTCTGGGTCGGTGCCATTGGTGGCGTAGCGACGGTTGTTGAAGCGTTCAACACAAGATCTTAGGGCACACTCCTCCGCTTGGAAGTCCCAAGGTCTGGCATCCATGTCTGAAGAAAGAAAAAAAAGTTAACATTTTGGAGAGAAAGAGAGAGAGAGAGGGAGAGAGAGGGAGAGAGAGAAATGGTTGGTGGCAGAATGGGATGGAAGTTATAAGAAGCATTTCCCATACTTTTCAAAATCACAATGTTTGAATGAGGACACCACAAGATTGTACATGTATGTCTGACTAGTTAAAAACTAAATACAACTAATACAAAAACATTCCAGCAATCTTACCATTCCCATAAGCCCAATCATCATTAAGACGATGTCGCACTTTCTGGTAGATAGCAGACATCGTTTTCATGTTACTTTTTCTCCACTGCCTTCCCAGATATTTTGTCTGCATTTTAAGTAGCTTCAACACATAGAGCTGCATCATAGCATGCTTCACCTTCAATGATCTCTTCAAAATTGGGGCAGATTTGAAAACCACCAGCATCTGAAAAATACACTACCATATTATAACAAAAAAGTTGTCGAAAAGTAAATAAGTGAAGATAAAATAACAAATGAAATGCTCAAACCGAGTAAAACTATTCATTTTCTGATCTTCCATGAATTTTCAAATTCTGTCTTTGAAAGTGATATGACCCATCTATATGAAATGCCCCAAAATTAGATTTTTTCTCTTTATTAAGTTTTGTCAGTTATTGACAAAAGGACAAAAATATGACTTTTTTGGGGGGGGGGGGGGAGAAGATACTTAATTTCTTTTTCCACATGATTCAAACATTTGATTCCACTTAGATGAAAACAAAGGAAAACCTATATACCATTGTTCTTGAATGCTTCCATTTTGTCAGCTTGTTCAGAATTCGTAGGAGGTTGATACATGAGAAGAGATTCCTCCAACAAAACTGCAGATCATCACCTGCCTCCTATAAAGAAAAATATTTTAAATATATATTCAGTTTTAAAGTTTGTGTGCATCTGTTACTTATCTTTACATGAGACAGGAGCATTGCAATTGTTTGTTGATCACAGAAAAGCTCAACTGTTTTTTTATTACTATCACTGATATCATAATCATTATTGGCTGACATTATTATTATGAACATTATTATAAGCTTATATATATATATATATATTGCATAATGAATCTGGAAAACCAGGTCAATCATCAAGAATTTGTAGGTAAATTCAAATTTCTATCAAAATAAATAAATAAATAAAAGTCTCCCCACTGACCAGGCTCTCTGCTGTGAGCTCAGGTTGGTCACCAATCACACACACTGGGAAATCTAACAGTGGGATGCTGAAACAGACCAAAAAAATTATCATGTAAAATTTATTTCCCATTCTCACAGTCATTATCATTAACAAACTGCATTGTCGTCATCACCAGACTTTCATTATCATTATTAACCATCCAGTAATGAACATCACTGTTATCATCAGCAGAGAGAGAGAGAGAGAGAGAGAGAGAGAGAGAGAGAGAGAGAGAGAGAGAGAGAGAGAGAGAGAGAATTGTCTTACTTGTTTTTAGCTCCAACATATGACATAATATTTTGATTGAAGAACTTCAGCACCAGGGGTATGCAGTTGGCAAACACCAAGTGTTGACTCATGTACTCAAACTAAAACAAATTCCACACAAACAACAAACATTATAATTACTTAATAAATATGGATTTAAATTCTAATCATGTTTATTCATACTCTTAATAACATAGCACATATGTATATCTAAAATTGTTATTGCTAAAGTAAATAAATATCTAGAATAAATTTATTAAGAATGTTCTGAAAATGTTTATGGCCATCGTTCAAAAATACCGATAATGTACTTCCACCTGGATAAAGTATTTCCTACATTTTGAAAATTTAATTTTCAATCTGTACATATCAGACCGAGTGAGACAAAATTTGAGCACCAACTCAAAGAACTTATGATTATCATTATTTAATTATCAAAATCAAAAAGGAAAATGACCCTCCAATCTATTTCCCAATCTCAGCCTGGCTGTCACATACCTGATAAATGTGATTCAGTTTAAAATGCTTCAGTAGTAAGAGTAGCAGTCCAGAGATGGCCTTGACAATGACTTCCTTGTGCCTGTTCACATCTATCCCCAGTTTCATAGACTGAAGAACTGTGGTCCTAGAAAGATTTTCAAATATCTCACCTCAATACTGTCAATATCTGTTGTGTTTTATATAGTTTACCAGTTAATGAAGCACATAGACTATTACATCTTTATTTATATTATAGAAACAAGTCACAATGGCTATATGTACAGACTACCATCTGAACAGAAAATTGAATTTTTCTAGACATTTCTATACCTTTTTCTAAATCATCAAGGTACACCAAATCCAAAACCACTGACAAAATTACAATCCATAAACCTGTTTACCTCACACTGCTTGCCTTTAATCATTCCATGCATTATAATTAGAGTTCCCTTAACCAAGGCAAGGGATCTTAAGCCTGGTTTGTAATATATTCCTATCTCTGCAGTGAAGCATTAGTAGTGCTGATGCCCTTGAACAAACTTTCCTAGCAGAGAATAGATTTTAATCAAGATGCACTGTGTAAATAACACTAGATCTAATTAATGTACTCACGGCATCTCCTCTGGTAAAACATCAGCCAAGATGTTGATTGAGTCTGTCTTGGCTTTTGAAGTAGGTGCTGCCGCCAAGAGGATTTTCAATAGTGCAATCTGGAACAGAAGGATATGGATGCAAACAAAGCAAATAATAACATGCCTTTTTTAAATGAGATATACTGCCTTATAATGTGTCAGTGTATGGTCTTGCTGAAACCCATTGATGTTTTTAAAGGTGAACTGTATCAAGTGTAATTGTGTATTAGAATTTTTTTTAATGTTATGAAATAATTTATTATTATTATTAGTTACTATGATTATGTCCAAGCACAAAAACTCACCATGTACTGGGGTAAGTTGGGCAGCATTGCCTGGTACAAAATCTCTGCTGGTGTCACTGGAACATTTGTTTCCGGCTGAAAATTCATTTAGTTTATTCACAAAAGGATAGACTACCTAGCATTAACAGACACATATGCTTGACTATTTGCTTACTTTTATTATTTTGTTAAAAGTCTTTGTACCTGTATTTTGTACATGGTTGATGAGAGTAAATGATCTAAATCTGAAACAAAAACTGTTTACACTGAAAACAAATGTTACTGATATCTTTATCTGTTCAGGGATGTTATGTATATTTTGTAAATTTAGGATAACATATTAAAATACACTGCACAATTTTGACCTACAAACTACCAGTTTTAGTACATCTTGAAGTAAATGTTCTAAACACAACAATACTCAACACAAGATGGTTACTATGACAACACTGGCATAACAGAATAACAAAGCCAAGCATTTACCATAGACAGAGGATTTCTGGATATTTCTTCTTCTCTTTTTATCTGTATTTCTGCCAGAGATGTGTACAGATGCTGAAAAGTAAGTATGTATGTATGTATGTATAATAAAACAAAACAAATGAAATATGAAAAATATGAAAAATATACATCTCGTTCACATTTAAGTACTTTTATAAAATGTTAAGATCTGCATAAAATGCTATAATATTTCTTTCACATAAATTTTAGGCTCCTGGGCTAAGTTTAAAAACAAAAGCTGACTACACAAAGCGGCCTTGCAATATTGGTGTTATAGTTTTGAAGAATTACTCGCCGTATTTGGCATTAGTTAAGATAATTGCAATTTTCTCAAGGGGTTTTGTTTATAGATAGAAATTTAGTATGAAATCTCTAAGATTTTTTGTGAAATGCAAATTGGTAGAGAAGTTGCTGATAATGGGGGTTAGTTTCTAATTATTGAAAAAAAAAATTCAGGGTGCAGCAAAAGCAATTCCAAACTCACCTGTTTCAGCACCTTGACCCCCTCATGTATAGGCTGAGGTAACCCAGCCATAGAGTTCAGATCTCCTCGGATTGTAAGACCAACAAACTTGGCCCTGGTGTGCTCCAAGAACAATTCCAGGTCTTTTTGTCTGAAAAAAAAAAAAGATGATTTAAATCATGCAGCATTATACTTCTCAATGTACTGATAATAACAAAAATTAAAATACTATTTCAGTAGGTGTTTTTTAATTTTACCATCTTTGTAACTTTGTAAATTGTTGATTTTAATGTACTACTTGGTATGTTTTTAGAAACATTAGCAAATATCATCTGATATTGCAAAATTTTAAGTGAATACAACCACCAAATCAACATTGTTTCCTGAAAATGTCATAACAATCTGCTATTAAAAACAAAGAAACAAACAAACAATAATAATAATAAAATGTCACAAAATGGTTAGTTCCTGCAAATATCAGCAGGGCACTGAAATAAAAAAAAACATTAAAATTATGAAATAAAAGAACTCAGTAACAAAAACATGGGAAACTGGAACTGAGAAATTATGCCATATACGTATATGACAGGGCCTATTCACAGCCAAGTTTCTTGCTGTATATTTTTTCCCCCATAACAGCCGTATGTGCACAGCAAATTCAGCACAATAAACTGTAACAAAAATCTCTGGATAAAGACAATTCTTCTAAACTGGCCAAATCCAACTAGTCTCTGTTGAAATTTAAATGTGAATAGGCCCATTCTCATACCTGGCTTTAGGAGTCCAAAGCAAATAATCTGGCTCAGAAGGAAGGGTGCTCTGAGCACGATCAACGATAGAGCACCTCTTTTTTTGACGTCTTAGTGCCTTGATAAAAAATAACCTAAATGCATTTTGATGATTTAAATTTTTGTTCAGTCTTTTGGCATGAATTGATGATATTTTTCATCATAAAAAAAAAGACTTTTTCCAATTTGTAAATTGCCTGAAACCTACCTTACACATTCAACCATAAATTTTTTGATCCAAATATTGATCATTTTATTATAAAATCTGCTGGTAAAACATCTAGAAACAATTGTAATCAAACAATTTTTTAATAAGTAAAAATAAAACTTTCTGATATTTGATTGCTGATTACTCATGCATAGCAAAGAAGTTTACAAGGAGGAAAATCAAATCACAATCTAATGGAGGACTCAAAAGGAGATATAGCATTCTGCAATAATAAAAAAGGACACTCAATTTGTCAACTATCATGATGACAATAAAAAAATTGTCAAATCCATTACCACTCACCTGACTTTAGGTATCCATGGCAACCCCTTACTGGTAGGTATGGGCGGGGTCTCAGGTCTTGGGGTCTCTGGGCGTGGTGAGGGGGGTTGGATAGGGTCATCTTCACTCCCCTCCTTACTAGCCTCTATTTCCCTAGTGATCTCGTCATCCATACTTTCAAATGGATCCTCCATGCTGCTCTGTTTTACTAGACCCTGGCATGAGACAATTTTAAAGAAATAAAGCCTCTGCACAAATAGAATTTCATTACATAGCCACCACCGTGACGATGTTAAAGATGCATATGAAGTCAATTTTTTGTCACAAAAGCCAGCCAAATGCCAGTATATAGTTGCCAACAGCATACCTAACTAAGAGAATTACCAAAAGGCATTATTTAATATTGCCCGAAAAATGATATTTGCATGGATTTTTCTGCTAGCTTTCTATGCTGTAGGTAAATGGGACAGAAAAGTAGGTCAGATAAATAGGTAAAATTTCTGACCAAAATTTTAAAGAAAGGAGCAGTGCCAGTCTAAACTCTTTTATGGCTGATTGAGTGATTTATTCAATTTATCCCTTGGTATGTCGAATTTATTCGAGTTGTACAAGAAACTAGTAGAAGGGAACCCATACTCACCGACGCTCAGTTCATATGTACGTTTAAGTATATTCATATTTTCAAACAGATCACCACTTCGGAAAAAAACTTTATCTTTAGGTGACCATGTTAGTATGTGTAAGTACAAAATAAACTGATCATCAAATAAATGCTTTGAAAGCACATAATAAATTGATCAGATAGAGGGAATACAGCAATAAGTAATTACATCTTGAAAATACAGAGTGGAAAAGGTGGCTACCTTTTTATTATTATTTCCTCTATAATTCCTTTTAGGCAGTTGCTGTTCTATGAGATCTGCAGCAGAGGCGGGAGGTGAGGCGGCCCTCATGTGACGGCACACAGCATGAGTGTTTTCAGTCAGAGGAGGAAGGTTTTCATCTGCGCGTTTTTTGTTCTTCATGTCGTGTACTTCATCTAACCCACCAAGAGATGTCTTGAAGAATAAAAGGAGACCCAGAAATAATTTCAAAAGTTTTAACAAAGATGATTGAATTAATCTCACAGCCTCCAAAAATGAACTGTACAATCAATCAATCAATACAATCAATCAGGCTATCTAATTATTTCTTAGAACTGATAACTTCAGACAAAGTATGTAAATAAATAAATAAATAAATAAATAAATAAATAAATAAATAAATCCACTCACCAGTACAGATTTCCACAAAACCAAGAGGACTTTTTTCATGGGGAAATGTGGGGCACTGCCACTGCAGAACTTGGTGACCATATTAAAGAGGACAATGGCCAGAGGGTCCTCCCCACTGACCGGCTGACCTGGACACAGGTGAAAATGGACACAGTTAAGTGCACTTTATTTAAAATAAAACATTAAAAAGTTAAACAGGGATGAGAATACCATTTAGTGGAAAAGTCAGAAAATATATCTTGGGGTTCAGGGGGCTGCCAAGGCCAATGATATTTTGGGCTCCCAAAAAGTTGGAAGTCTGCTGATAGTCAGTAAAATTTCACCCCTGGTTAATATTATACCCTTTGGATGGAGGGGGCAGAGACAGAATGGAGGGGGGGGGGGGATGGGAGAGAGGGGGGGGGGGGGGGGGGGAGAGAGAATTTGTTTTTGCCAAAATAGGTTCAAAGCAATAAGATTATGTTATAAGAGTAAGCCATTTGAACTTGTTTCAGTACCAATAAGTTAACAAAAACTTGGTCATGTTTGTACTCATTTCAGGAAACACAGATGCTATTTCCTCATTCTATCAAATTTCAAATCTTATAAATCAACCCAAAGAAAAAATTCAAAGTTTTGCTTTATGGCTTAAACAACTGAGGAAAATATGGGAGGAATGCATATCATTACCAAGTTCCAATTTGAAATTAGTTTGTAGCTGCTTTTTTTCATCTGAATCATTTTCATCATCAATCCGCATGGTCTCTATCATGATGTAAAGAGCATTCAGGATAACTCTGAAATAAATTGGAAATAAAATCATGAAAATCAAAAGGAAATAATCATTATATAAAAATTGTCCAATTTTTTTGTCCTAAGAAAATTTCCCCACTTCTTCAAAATTATTTTTTACCAGATAATAAACACTTGACCAACTGAAAATCTAAACAATAATTAATGAAATAATATAAAAAATAAAATAAACAAATTATGTAAAGAAATTAAGTAAAATAAAAATCATGACATCTTTACAGTCATATACTGTCTATTAAAAATATATATCAATTGGTCAAACAAGACTTAACTATCTTGTCCATATAACCTAAGCTGTACCAACCTAAGATCCGTACTGTCAGCAAGAGACACAGCTGGTTTCCTTAAAGCAACAGAGGCAGCTAGACCATTCCTGAAAAAGAAAGGTAATTAATAACACCAATTCATTACATCAAATGAGTAACTGGCTACTGAAATCAATGCTGGAACATGTAATTTTCGAAATAACAGAAACACACCTGGTACCAATATTTTAAAAACATTTTTTCCTTCATAAACTTTCTGGATTTTTGACACAATGTCTCAAAAACTGACTACGACCTACAATATCTTTTACAGAAATAAATGTCACAATCATATTTTAATTTGAGCCAGCTTGCTGAAAATTGTAATTGTAGCAAAATCCACGATTTTTGAAATTTCTATCTAAAATTAAAGACCCATTGGCAGTCTTCACTTCTTTTGTGAAGCCATCCTCTGCTACTTACTCCATCTCCATGTTAAGCAGCTCAATAAGGGCTTGGAATGCTCCACAGGTGTACAGCAAGAACACATGATAGCGGCACCAGTAAGCCTGATCTTCTTCATGATCACATTCACCAAAGAAGCCTGTTAAATAATAAGGTTAACATGTTAATAAAAGATACTGTAATATACCTGAGTACATAAATATTTGAATGATAGGACTATCCTTGGACTGAGTACAGCATTGGACTGGTGAGTAAACCTAGCTCACTCACCCTGTAACAAGTGGAGCATGACAAAATAGTTCACTTACATTGTAACAAGTAGAACAGGGACCTTGTAACCTACCTCACTCACCCTGTAGTCATCAGAACAGTGACCTTAGAACCAAGCTAACTCACCCTGTGACAAGTACAGCCAGGACCTGACAATCTAGCTCACTTACCCCAGAGGCGGATTGAGGCCGTCTCTTGGGTCTTGGAAGATGGTAAGATTTAAAGGTTTACATTGATGGGTATCTAAATTTTTCTGTCAGAAGACAGTTAAAAATGGAAGATGGATCGACAAAGATAATTCGGAAGACTGTCAGAAAATATCTCACCTTGTAAAAAATAGAGCAGGGACCTGAAAACCCTGTAACAAGTGCAGCAGGGACCTGACAGCTTAGCTCACTTACTCTGTATCAAGTAGAACAGGGGCCTTAAAACCTAGCTCACTTACCCTGTAACAAGTACAGCAGGAGCCCTAGAACCTACCCCACTTACCCTGTAACAAGTACAGCAGGGGCCCTAGAACCTATCTCACTTACCCTGTAACAAGCACAGCAGGGGCCTTAGAACCTAGCTCACTTACCCTGTAGCAAGTAGAGTAGAGACCTGACAGCCTCCATCCTGGCCTGCCTGTTGGAGACCTCTATTGTGTCTAGGAGCCTCAGGATGTGCATCTTTCTGGCAGCCTCATTCAGGTCTGTCCACTTCTGTTTTGCTGTTACACAGAACAATTATATTATATATTGTTATATAATATAAAACAAATAATGATGGTTAATCCAATTCTTTGAAATCACACAAGGCATGAAAGTTATGATTTAAACTGCCAAGAAATTCTGTTATGCTATTGCTATTTCTAAAAATTTGTAAAACGTTTTAAGCATCACTGTCTTTTCTGTCACACATATTTTAACAGTAAGACAGCCTCAGGTAACATTAGATTTAAAAATACTAACTCGGCACTTAACTACTCTGGCATAAATTCATATCTTGTACATCTTTTTACAATCTAATCCAGGCTAGACTAAAAAGGATTGTACACCTATCCCAGGGACATTTTTTGTTAATGTACATGAAATTTCTCGCAAATATCAAAATGTTTGAAGTAAAGTTTTATAGTCTAAGATTTACTCACTGATTCTTTCCAAATATTCCTCGAAGCATTTTCTGTTTTGATAAAACTCACTTTCTTCTGTATAGCTGTAAAGTTCTGTAAAAACATATGAATAATTACAAAACATGTGGACTATAACAAACTTCTAGCAAATCAATAAATGATGCAGTATATTACAACAGCTTATTTCACATACATGCAACAAGATCATTAGGGTCAGCTTGATTGTTTGTCCTCATGTCCTTTATGCTTTAGTATATCAGATACACCATTCATTATCAATGTGTATATGACATCAGTTACTTAAACATCTTATGATCTCTTGCTGTATCTTTTACTTTTACGCGAAGAGAACCTTGATTTCCTTGCAACTGATAAACCACACCTGTACATTACTGATATCTAACAAAAAATATTGAAAAGCTGGATGTAAAGAGAATATGTATTATAGTAAATGACCTATTCATTTCAGATAAAACAAAATAAATAAATAAAATAATCCTTGAATAAAAAAATATTATAAAAATACCTGATATTTCCAAATTGTATTTATCAGCATCATCATATATAAACTCCAGGTCTGGCGACTCACTGTTGGTCTGATAAACAAAATGAAAGTATATCTTATGACTAAAAAAGTAATTGGATGACACGTTAAATGTAATGATTATTTTAAAAAATAGTAACGTTAATTTCACGCTAGCTTTAAATTGATGCATTCATTGCAAGTTGTGCTAGACGACAGAAACATAAAGGTGATCATCACTTACTTTCACTGCATAGCTTACACACGGTTTTTATTAATCTTATTTTTAATTTCTTGAATAAGAATGGGGCTGATATCTTCACTGATCTAAATTAAATTTCAAGACGTCAGAATGAAATTTTCAAGTGTCAAATTCTGACGTGAACAATTAATTCAAAGAGCTCGATGTAGTGAGAGATTTCTAGTATTCAACTAAGTAAATATGCTTAATTAAGACCTGTTTCGCATTACCTCTGAATCTCTTCGCTGCCGACGGAGTAACTCCCTCAATTTTGGTAAACCACCTCTTCCTCGCCCAGCTCCGCCAGCTCCACTGGAGCCGTCCATCTTGGATTTTGTGTACAAGACATGTGCTGCCACCTATGATTATTTCACAAAAACTAAAGCGACAGTCTGCTATAAAAACGCACTCAAACACTGAAGCCAAGCTCAGTCGTTAAGTTAAAAAGTTCATAAATCTGTTCGTAATCTGAATTAAAAAGGATAAAATCTGCCGTGGGGTATTTCGAAAAAAGTTTTGATCACATGGTCTCACAGCTGTGAAAATGGCGGACGAAGATCACGACTCCGAAGATGCCGTTGTTTCAGAAAAATCAAGGGCAAAAGTAACTGACCACAAACTTATTGGTGATGAGGCCCAAGCAAGGGTAAGTGATTATTTGAGGCATTAAAGACACCCATTGTGTTAGATGTAACTATTAAGAAATTAAATTAATTTAGTTACGAGCGAGGTTATATGCTGTCATTGATTGTTGTGCTTTCGCTTATGTGCGCTGTATCGTAAGCATTGCTTCGGCTGTTAAAGGCAAATTGCTTCTGGTGTGAAGATTTAGTGCTCGCGAACCCATGTTGTTAAATGCGTAGCCCTTGTCCACCAAATGTTTCACTATTGAATGCATGGATACAATGTACACAGTAGCAACAGAACTTGCCCTACAGGTAGTTTTACAGTCACAGTCCTTGGGTATTATCGACCAATTAAGTCTTTGTAAAACATCTTCCTTTTTCACCTGAAGCACCAGCGGTGTCTGCGGCTTTACTACACTGTATATAATGCAAGTCGTGGACCATCAAGGGCTATCGACAAATTATTTTATGTTTGTGAATATTCCTGTTTGAGCTTTTTGTGTATTGTAATATTTAATTAACACACTGACATAAGCACAAAGATTTATCATAATCATACATCAGCTGTCTGGAACCATTGACAAGTACTAAATAGTGTTTCACACATCTTGCCTGAGTGTTGCCAGTTTAGGTGCCTTTTTTCTAGGCATTATATTCTTAGAATTCATGTGCATATGCAGTACATAGCACTTGCATGTAGAATTGAGTACAGATTGCAGATTGCATTCCTACGATCTTTTCAGCACTAGTCTGTATATAGTCTGTATAAAGTAAACTAAAGTTAACTACTAAAAGGGTATCTGACAAATTACATCCTCTGGTCTGCCTCCCAAGTGTTTTTTTTTTTTTTTTTTAAATTTTTTTTTATTTTTTTTTTTTAGTTCTTGGGCTAATCTTAGTCAGCTAAAATTGAATAGCTGAATATGTAAAGTCAACGCTGCAACACTGGTCTGACTGAGAACTTTTAAATATGATTGTCCCCGAAACTGTATTTGGCATTGATAAATGGGCTACTGTCACCTTTGAGAGCTGTAAAAATCAAGACAGACAATTTGTTCAAGGACCTTAACTAAAACTCTGGGAAAAAAGGAAACCAGATAAGTGTAGCCTTATAGATTTTTATGAAGAAGAACTTAATCAGCTAAGTTATAGCAGGCTAAGCTTTTAGTCCAGAAACTGACTTAAGATATTATTAAACATGCCCCAGGTGATAAACTTATAGGGACTTAGCTTGATTACAATATTTACTATTGGACTTCAAAATTCTTGTCTCTCTGTACTTGGAAAGGAACACATTACACAGTGCCTACCTTTATCACAGTAGAACTTGATTAGAAAGACAGACATGTGTAATGAGTCCAGTTGAATACTCCATAATGTAAATACCAGACCTGTTATCACAGGCTGATCCTTGTTTTGCATAATGAGAAAAGTCGGATATTGTCCTCAGCAAAAAAACTGCTAGAAATTTTAACTGATTACCTGTGTTTCAAAAAAGACTTATGTCTCCAACCTAATACATTTTTTTCTTTGAAAAATTTATTTGCCTTTTTAACTGTGTCCCTAGAGGAAATTTTGATTGCACTGATAATGGTTTTACAGTCAGTGGGGAGAGAAGCCCATTTGGGTTTGTCAGTTGAATTTATTTTTTAAAAAAATCATTTGAAAATGCTTTTAGACCAAGACTGCAAAATTGACATAGGTTACTAGTAAACAGTCTAAGTTAGGCTAGCTTTTACTAACTATGAAGACACAAAAGTGTGTGGGTGTGTGCTGGGGCATGCATGCACACATATTACGTTTACTGAAAGAGAAATGTTTCGCTGGAAAATATGATTAATTTAAATGCATGGAACAGACCCAGTTTTTGTGCTTTCTTATATTGAGTTTTGAAGCTTGTGGTTTGAACTTAAGTTGGGAAATGAAACAGTTTATGTATAAACAATGTTATAAGTTTGAAGCCTTTGTCCAACGGTTTCTTTGAGCTTTGAACAACAGTTTACACTTTTTTCTGTTGGGCTCTCTGCTTTTACTAAAACATGGTTATTTCTTGTATTGAAAATAATTTTCTGACAGAAAATAATTTTCTGATCAGCTCTACTGATTTTTTGCTGATCATGAGCTGTTTATTACACAAAAATTTTATGGCCCAAGACTTCTTTATGTTTGCTCAGAGGTTAAGTTTTATTCTTTTATTGTATTTTATTTTTCAAAGGTCAAGGGCAATTTACTTGAAAACAGCTTGAACACTTAACCACTGATGATGATGATGTTAAAATGGTATCATTTCTCCCTTGAGACCAATACACCTTCAGATCAATGAACTTTTGAATATAAGAAATGTCAAATCGTGCGAAGTATAGTAATGTATTGTCGGTTTTGGAACAGTGAGCCTGTGGCCTATTGAATCTTCATACTAAATTGCCTACAGACAGTTTATACACATGCCCAAAGTGTGTTAGAATTGCCACTTCTGTATCCCTGCTACTTTGATATTACATACAGAAAGTTAATATCAATCTATTTGGGAAGAAAGTCTATTGATTTGCCCCGACTGGGACGGATGGATATATCTATAGAAGGTATCCTTGACCTTAAAAATGACCAAGGTTACTCTAACAGTCAATGCTAGCCATTGCCCCATGCTGCCCCAGTAGAAGTGAAGGCGGGCTAGTGAAATTGTTATTAATTTTGTCAGAGACTAACCAATATCTCTGGTTTGGGTCAGTAGATTCTTGGAACTTGGTGGACTGAAGTGCGAGTTGGTTAAGGAATTTTTGGAACAGGCTGCACTCTCATGCACATGCATGCACGCTCACGTACACATGGATTAAAATCTGTGGCAGTTTGTACCTTTAACTTATTTGCATGCTGCTCACTTGGGACTAGTGGGCCTCAAAAAAACCACCAGTCCAAATCAAAAGTTCCTGCCTTCTGGACTGGATTTCCATGCATAAAAGGTCATTAAATGAGTTAGCCAGCAGTGCGTAATGTCTATATGACCATTCAAGTGGGTCGGCCATATTTGACCCTCGGACTCGTTAGTCCACTTGTCTGAATGCGGCCTTAATCCTGTTTGAAAATGCATCCTCCTGTTGATTTTAAATACTTCGAAATTTAACTTGGTGTTCGTTGCCATTCTCACCAAAACAAAAACTCTCAACAAGAATAATATCCCAAACAACATGCCATGCATCTCTAAAACTTCCTTTAGAGTAAGTGTGATGGAAGAAATGCCATTTGCATGCAGTGCTCCTCCCTGGGGACATCTCTGCTGTAATTGGAAGGTGAATGCCTTCCTGGAGACTAGATAAAATGAACTCAGAATCAATTATTTTAAACAAAATTAAGAGAAGATATTGGAGAAGAGGAAATTTGAGCAGTTTTGTCAAGTCGCGATAAAGATTTTACGGTTAAAATCCTGGTAAAGCTGCACATGAAGTTGGTGCTTATTACCTGAGGCAATACTTGATGTCCTTAAATGATATGTGCAAAAATGATCAAGCAGGATATAGGGTCATTGTTATTCTGTGCACGTACGTTTTTGTTCCTGTCATATCAAAGTTAATTCTCTGCTTCACATATGGTATACATTTTCATGTTTGTGAACAAATGTTTTCCTGAAATATTTTGTTGGGAAGGTTGATCTTTATAGAGCTGTTTTTAAGTCGATTTTTCTTCTCTGAAAATGATGAAAAGTATCCCCAATGGTAATGGATAGCATCTCTCTGGTAAAGGATAGTATCTCAATACTAAGGGATAGTATCCGCTATAATGGATATTATCCACTGTAACGGATATTTAATTATCCCAACAGTGATAGGACAGTTCCCAGCTGTAGGGATAGTATCCCTTGTGTAGACAAGTGGATTATAGACAATATCAGATGGTATCACAACAGGAATGGATAGTATCTGAATAGTTACAAATAGATCCTTATAGTAAAGCCTTAGGGTAGTATCTAATAGCAAGGCATGCACAATGTGAAAATTAAAGATTTTGTGGATTGCAGAATTGTCCTGAATTGCACTAACTATTTCAGGCAGAATCTACATAGTACATAAATACGAGATTCAGCATGTTACATCGGGTATTTATGGATCTAAGAACTGGATATGCCCCAACCACAAATCTCAATAGGCACCAAATTGTGAACACGATATAACTAAATGTATTGATTAGGCAGTGTTACAGTGTGGGATGTGGAAAATAAGTAATAGAATTTGTGGTGTGCAAGAGATATACATGTTAACAAAATGAAGCACTTTTTTCATGCAACTTTTTCTGCACCTGGTTGTATTGTGTATATTCTCATGGGGTAATATGCGGTTATGACACTTAATACTGACAGATCATACGATTGAATGCAGATAGTGATCAAGACTCACTGGTGTGACTGCGGTATATGTGTCTTCGTGATGAAGAGAAGGATACATTTTCAACCGCAGTGCATTTTGTCATTTGAGATTGAATTTGCACTTCAATAGATCAACTTTTTTTTAGCAGGGGTAGATGAATTTTCAATTCAGTAAGATATGTTTTTTAACGTTTGATGTCAGATTATTAATTCATCAACACCCAGGGCATAATAAAAATGTGTTTAGTGAAAACCTACCTCCAGGGAACCATAAAAAAGTGTATGAAATATAAACATCAGGAGATTTTAGTTTGTCATTAACTGCCATCCTTGAACTCTCGTGACAACTATTATAAAT